AAGAAAATTTCTATTCAGCCAGGCTGAATATCATTTTCTATAAGAAAATTTCTATTCAGCCAGGCTGAATATCATTTTCTATAAGAAAATTTCTATTCAGCCAGGCTGAATATCATTTTCTATAAGAAAATTTCTATTCAGCCAGGCTGAATATCATTTTCTACAAGAAAATTTCTATTCAGCCAGGCTGAATATCATTTTCTACAAGAAAATTTCTATTCAGCCAGGCTGAATATCATTTTCTACAAGAAAATTTCTATTCAGCCAGGCTGAATATCATTTTCTATAAGAAAATTTCTATTCAGCCAGGCTGAATATCATTTTCTATAAGAAAATTTCTATTCAGCCAGGCTGAATATCATTTTCTATAAGAAAATTTCTATTCAGCCAGGCTGAATATAATTTTCTATAAGAAAATTTCTATTCAGCCAGGCTGAATATTATTTTCTATAAGAAAATTTCTATTCAGCCGGGCTGAATATCATTTTCTATAAGAAAATTTCTAGAAATTTGTATCCAGGCCTTCTAGGTACTTAAGAAGTTCTTCCCTGCTGTAACCTGACGGCCTCTTTTTGTGGTTGACTATATTCCAGTATGTACTCGGTTTACATGTGTCCATGAATATGTTTTTAAATTAGTTTATTTTCATTTTGTATTGCACAAAATGTCCTCTTTCTTTTATGCTTTGCTTACTTTGCAAATTGATTTTGTTCCACGGCTGGCATTGTTTTGCAACCGCATATTTGCGAGTAGCGAAATGGACGCAACATATTCTACCCTTGTTTTCAAAGATTAGATCAACAAGTTTTTCATTTTCAGCTATGTCATAGACGATGATAGCCACGATGATGATGACGACACGACAACAAATAAGGCCATTTATATGCTGTCAAATGAAATATATTTAACATTGTTGTTGTTATTATTGTTTGGCGGAAAATGTTGCAGTTGTATGAGAAGAAAATTAAGCACATAAGTAGAGGATAGGGAAGGATGACAGGACTTCTTAGATTGACTTATTTAAATATAAGCGAGCTGAACAGAGTCTCTACAGAAGAACTGAAGGAAGTCTTTACAGATGAGTTGAAAGGAGTTTTAAGATGGCTGAATAGAAATGTTCATATAGAAAATGATATTCAACCTAGCGGAATTGAAATGTTTATAAAGAAAATTATATTCATCCTAGTTGAATAGAAATTTTCTTGTAGAAAATGGCATTCAGCCTGGCTGAATTGAAATTTTCTTGTAGAAATTGATATTCATCCTGGCGGAATAGAACTTTTTGTGTAGAAATTGACATTCAGCCTGGCTGAATAGAAATTTTCTTGTAGAAAATGACATTCAACCTGGCTGCATTGAAATTTTCTTGTAGAAATTGATATTCATCCTGGCTGAATAGAACTTTTCGTGTAGAAAATGACATTCAGCCTGGCTGAATAGAAATTTTCTTGTAGAAAATGACATTCAGCCTTGCTGAATAGAAATTTTCTTGTAGAAAATGACATTCAGCCTGGCTGAATAAAAATTTTCTTGTAGAAAATGACATTCAGCCTGGCTGAATAGAAATTTTCTTGTAGAAAATGACATTCAGCCTGGCTGAATAGAAATTTTCTTGTAGAAAATGACATTCACCCTGGCTGAATAGAAATTTTCTTGTAGAAAATGACATTAAGCCTTTGCTGAATAGAAATTTTCTTGTAGAAAATGACATTCAGCCTGGCTGAATAGAAATTTTCTTGTAGAAAATGACATTCAGCCTGGCTGAATAGAAATTTTCTTGTAGAAAATGATATTCAGCCTTGCTGAATAAAAATTTTCTTGTAGAAAATGACATTCAGCCTGGCTGAATAGAAATTTTCTTGTAGAAAATGACATTCAGCCTGGCTGAATAGAAATTTTCTTGTAGAAAATGACATTCAGCCTGGCTGAATAGAAATTTTCTTGTAGAAAATGACATTCAGCCTGGCTGCATTGAAATTTTCTTGTAGAAATTGATATTCATCCTGGCTGCATTGAAATTTTCGTGTAGAAAATGACATTCAGCCTGGCTGAATAGAAATTTTCTTGTAGAAAATGACATTCAGCCTTGCTGAATAAAAATTTTCTTGTAGAAAATGACATTCAGCCTGGCTGAATAGAAATTTTCTTGTAGAAAATGACATTCAGCCTGGCTGAATAGAAATTTTCTTGTAGAAAATGACATTCAGCCTGGCTGAATAGAAATTTTCTTGTAAAAAATGACATTCAGCCTGGCTGAATAGAAATTTTCTTGTAGAAAATGACATTCAGCCTGGCTGAATAGAAATTTTCTTGTAGAAAATGACATTCAGCCTGGCTGCATTGAAATTTTCTTGTAGAAATTGATATTCATCCTGGCTGAATAGAACTTTTCGTGTAGAAAATGACATTCAGCCTGGCTGAATAGAAATTTTCTTGTAGAAAATGACATTCAGCCTTGCTGAATAAAAATTTTCTTGTAGAAAATGACATTCAGCCTGGCTGAATAGAAATTTTCTTGTAGAAAATGACATTCAGCCTGGCTGAATAGAAATTTTCTTGTAGAAAATGACATTCAGCCTGGCTGAATAGAAATTTTCTTGTAAAAAATGACATTCAGCCTGGCTGAATAGAAATTTTCTTGTAGAAAATGACATTCAGCCTGGCTGAATAGAAATTTTCTTGTAGAAAATGACATTCAGCCTGGCTGAATAGAAATTTTCTTGTAGAAAATGACATTAAGCCTTGCTGAATAGAAATTTTCTTGTAGAAAATGACATTCAGCCTGGCTGAATAGAAATTTTCTTGTAGAAAATGACATTCAGCCTGGCTGAATAGAAATTTTCTTGTAGAAAATGACATTCAGCCCGGCTGAATAGAAATTTTCTTGTAGAAAATGACATTCTGCCTGGCTGAATAGAAATTTTCTTGTAGAAAATGACATTCAGCCTGGCTGAATAGAAATTTTCTTATAGAAAATTATATTCCACCTGGCTGAACAGAAATTTTCTTATAGAAAATGATATTCAGCCTGGTTGAATAGAAATTTTCTTGTAGAAAATGACAGACTGGCTGAATAGAAATTTTCATAAGGAAAATTATAGTTAGTCTGAAATATATTATAGGGGAAAATATTTTTAGTCCGGCTATTTTATCCTGGCTGAATATAAATTTTTATTTATTAATTACACCCCATGTTTCTTTGGACTAAATGCGTTTCAGAAAATTTGGAGTCGATTTAGCCATGTCCGTCCATTGGCCGTCTGTCTGTCGCACCAGCCAGCCATTGCGCCCGATAACTCTCGAAGGCAGCAACCGATTTCATTCAAACTTTGCACATCTTAATATTTCTTCAAAACTTAGTTTAAGTTCAATAATGGGGAATATCAAGTGTGAAGATGGGACCCATTGGTCCACTATTTCTGGTAAATCCCCCACGGAGGGTCAAAATTTTCAATATTTATAATACCAATACCAAGCAAATGGAATGTCCGTTTTGAACCAAACTTTGCACAACATATTACCTTTACCAAGCCTAAATCAAGTTTGAAGATGGGACCCATTGGTCCACCCTTTTTGGTACCTCTCCCACAAAATGGTCAAAATTGTGCTAAAAATCAATTTTATATTAACATGCAAACGGTCTAATTAATTTCAAAGAAACTTTGTACAACCCATTATATTTACCAAGCCTAGATCAAGTAGGATGATGGGACCCATTGGTCCATTTCTTCTAGTACCTCCCCCATGAATGGTTAAAATTTTCTATATTTATAAATGCAATATCAAGCGAATGGAATGTCCGATGTGAACCAAACTTTGCACAACTCATTATCTTTACGAAGTCTAGATTAAGTCCAAAGATGGGACCCGTCGGTCCACTCCTTCTGGTACCTCCCCCATGAATGGTTAAAATTTTCAATATTTATAAATGCAATATCAGGCGAATGGAATGTCATATTTGATCCAAACCTTGAACAACCTATTATCTTTACCAACTCTATATCAAGTCCGAAGATGGGACCCAGTAGTCGACTCTTTCAGGTACCTCCCTCACAAATGGTCAATATTTTAAAAAAATGAATCAACATTAAGTCTGAAAACTCATTTTCTACTTTGGAGGGAAATAATATGCTTGCAGAATATTTTCAATATAGGTCCATGTTTCGGAATAGCCATTATATAAATCTCCACGTTTGGACCTAGACTGATTTCAGCTATTTTACTGTGTTCCATATGTTGGAGGGCATTGAAAGTCCTACCCGGTCAAAATTTGATGCTTTTTCAACTAGTTTTTAACTGCAATTTTATGTTAATACAATGTTTAAATAAATATTTTGTTATTCCGCCTTCCTACTCCCTAATAAACCTCATTCTCGGTTAACGCATTGTTAACCTATGTATATATAATCGTATGTATGTACGTACAGATATATCGAAATGTGTTTTATCATTATTACTTTAATTACGCTGATTGCATGTCCTGCCAAAAGTCAGCGCTGGAGTCGCATGAGTCCGTGTTTAAAACGTGTAATCAGTTGAACTTTCACCATTGTCATCTTGCAACAGCAGCAATAACTCCATCATTATTATGATCTCTGTTCGTAAAAATGATCTGAATTGAAAACAATGGCCAGATGCAAAAATGAATGCACACAAAGAAGAAGAGGAGTAGAATTTTTATGAAAATTACAAAAAACAAAAAAAAATGGAAATCTGAGTATGGAAATTTAATGCCAACCCAAGAAGGAGGAGGATGAGGACAAAAAGTCAAGTAGTCATATCGTGGTCGACAGGTAATGTGCTAGCATACACACACCTCGCCATGGAACTGCTATATTCATGCCATAGTATTGCGTTATGCGGAGGACGAACTCCGCTATGAAAATGACCATGTCGTCTCTATGAAAATGTCAGCCATTGGCATTATTATGAAAATAATGTCGCACCCGGTCATATAGTACAAATAATGAGACTGTTAGTGTTGTATTCCCACCATTCAGAGTCATTTCTGTTATGACAGTCATTGAAAATGTTGATGGTGATGATGATGATGGTGGTCATGTCGAGACACCATCGCCACCAAGTTAACCAAACTGCCAGTTATGTAGCTAGCCAGGCAGACGGACAGCTGCAAGCTAGAGGGAAAAAGTCATTGGGAAACACAGGTTCGTTGTCGTCCATGCGTTTAACAATATTGTAATTTTCAATTTTATCCTTTAAAAATGTATCACATTGGTGTAATCCTGTTACTCCTTTTGCACATTAAAAAAACAGAAAAAACCAAGGGAGAACAAGATCCGCTGTAATTGACGATTGAAGGAGTGTTCGGAGAATCCATAAAAGAACGTGGTTGCTGGTCGCTTATTGTTGGTATTTACCTTATAATTATATTTATTCTGTCCGAAGAAGAAGAAAAAAATGTCAGTAAGGATGACAACAACACCAAAGGATGTTCGCGTGTTAAATCAATAAAGATTGATTGGCTATATTATGGACAAAGAACGGAAGAAATATAGACAGAATTTCAAAAAAAAGTGGAAAAGTAATTTTAGTTTGTATAAAAACGGATGTAAGATTATTTTCGATTGAAATTTTCAATGAGACCAATTAAAAATTATTAAAATAAAATCTAAAGACTAAAAATATTTGAAATATATTGGCGTAAACCACCCTCCCTTTCAACATAACTTGACCATACCCTACACTAAAAGGTACCTATTAAAAATACCTTAAATCAAACGGGTCATATAATTGGCAGGGGAAAATAACAAATTACTGACATAAGTTTTCGAAATTTGACTAAGAAACTTATACAGAATTATCTTTTATACATAATAAACCTATTCATATTAAGGGGACCCCCCCCCCCATTCTCGGTGTCAAAAATTTTTTTGATTTAATTCGAATCTACTCTAATTCTAGAATGTCTCTACAAAATTTCAAGTAAAAATCTCAAGAACTCTTAAAGATATAGCCGATTTATTGTGTTAGCATCAAGTGACGGCTAAAGGGCTTCTCAAACTTTAAACGCGTTTTTCTCAAAACGAATGGCGGGCACGATAACTCAAAAACTAATAATCCAATCGGTTTCAAATTTTGACACGTTTCTCTGGGAGTGTGTAGCTCTCGTATGAACTAGGATAAAGCCAATCGGTGAAGATCTTCCTTATTTTTGAACTTAGTTTGTGGTCAAAAATAGACGATTTTCCAATTTTTTCAAAGTTCCGCCATTTTGTTTATTGTTGTTCGAAGTCAATAATCCTAGTTCATACGAGAGCCAGACATGTCCTCTTTCTAAAACAGTTGGAATTTTCGGATTCCGATGTTCCAGTGAGGAGTTATCATGCCCGCCATCGAAAATATGGACTTTTCTTTGAACCCAAAAAACAACAACAAAACAACAACAACAAATTTTGGTAAATTATTTTTCTTCCTTTTTAAATCTTCAAATACATATGTGCCAAGTTACAAACCTTAACAAGCATTGGTATTCATTTACCAGCCCATTTAAAATCTTAAAAATAAAAAATCGAGAATGGGGGGGGTTCCCTTAATACAATTTTTAAATTTATCCTACCTATTTGATCAAAATGTAGTTGTAACCATTTTTTACGTCAATCTTAACAAAAAGAGTAACTCTCATCTGGTTCCATCCGGGATCGAACCGGAGACCTTCTGCGTGTAAAGCAGACGTGATAACCGCTACACTATGGAACCAATTTAAAGCGTTATTTTTTGAAATTTTACACATTTGTTTACATTACACTATCGTTGATAAATAGCATAATTGATAATGGCTTAAATAAATAAACCAAGCATAACTAACATATCACTGCACACATCGACTGAACCTTTAACTTTTTTTAACGTCATGCAATTCAAACAGATTTGAAAACACGAGCAACGAACACAATAATTGTGTGGCATAATACAAAATAATTTACCAGTTGTAGTTAAAAATAGTTGTAGTTGTTGTTGGTCATGACGAAATAAACATTGACCGACAAGATAATAAAGCTTATCAACAAAATAGTGTTTTTGTTAATAGTTTTCACTATTATGTAGAGAGACACAACCATATTCACCAGAATAAGACCACAGAATTTTGAATATGATATTTTTCGATTATATTTGGCTGACAAAGTTGTATTGTATCAAACCCTAAAATGAGGTTTTTTTGAAACCATTGGGTTATGGTTCGAATAAAAACCAGATTACCAAATCACATCAAAAATAAGTCGAGTTTTGAGGCTTTAAGAATCAACATTCATACATTCATAATTAAATTTGTAAACCGTACACAACTATGTTGTCGGGGTACGCCGCGAAATATTTATCCTAGACACCGTTTTTAGTATACCGATTACCATATCTCGACTAGCTGAGTCGATCTAGACAAGTGTGTCCGTCTGTCCATTATAATTTGTAAACACATACAGGCCACAGTTATGGACCAATCGTCACGAAATTTTGTATGTAGGACGGGTTCAGGCCAAAGAAACTCCAAATTGTTTTTCGCAATGTTCTACTAAATTTATTTTTGTATGTTTTTCTTTTCGCTATAGAGGTCAAAATTATGACCTGAACACAACGGATTTTACACCAGTAAGGGAATCTGGTAAAAAAATAAGCAGGACTGTTTTGATGAAGATCGGTCAATATTTAGTGGGTCAAATAGACCCAGATCCTGGAGCATATATATTTACTCCTGATGTGGGAGTTATACGAAATATGTACAGGGGTCTACCTATTCTGATGTTGTTTAGAACTAACATTACCCCATTAGAAGGCGGAACAGACGGAACTGATCCTTTGAAATTTTACATAAATTTCCGGTTATGGTCAAGGACGATGCCTATAATTTTCAGTGATGTTGAGATGGTTTAGGGGGTGCAATGAATCGAAAACTTTATTTTTGGTAGATTTTCTAGTCTCTCATTATTTAATGCAGAACATCATATATTTTACACGGTGAATAGGATCTGACCATATATTTAGAACGGCTGTCGGTCAACGGATCGGTCAATTTTCCAATTTTTTTTTTTATTTTGTGGCGTAAATATTCACCTGAAAGTGGAGCTGTTGACCTATAATCGCTCAAGAGGGTGCTAAAATCGTGAAATATTGCACACTTGTGTAGGATATTCATTGGTCGGCTCCGACCGACTATACTGCTCCTCCCGCTGGTTTTAAAATATTTTTATTCGCCAGGAATCCGATATGTTAAATTATAGTAACTTCCATGAGAAATTCCGGTTAAAAAATTATGAATACTATTATGCGGGGTTATATCAAAACATGCACCGCACAAATTTGTATATAAGTCAACCTTTATTATATCAAAATCCAACTAAAGTCTTAAAATATCCAAAATGGGAAGTGAACCAATATTGATCATATTTAGTGGGAAGATTTGACACCCCATAATAACCTGAAAATTAAATTAGATTCAATTTGTTTAAAAACGTGCCCAATATGTGGTGTACCGTTATATGGTGTCAAAAATCCCAATAATACCGAATATTCGGGGATACCGTTATTTCGGGGCTAACAAAGCATAGACCGATATATCCCATTTAGAAACCAACCTCCTGGAGTAATATCAATGTCAGTGCAAATTTTCAATGCACTGTCTCAAATATTGTGATTTCTATCGTGTTTCAACAGAATGTCGAACGAATATATGCATGGAAGCTAAATCTAAATATGACCCGATTTCAAAGAAACTTAGCATACAGCATTATAGATTCAATATGGCACTGAGCAATGTTTAAAATTGAACCGATTTCGACGAAACAAATACCATTCTAGTCTCAAATGAGTACTTCATGCTCAATTTCGTGTAAATCTAAAGAAATATTAGGACCTTTGGTGCACCATTTACATAAAATGGGACGACCATATATATGGTAGTCGAAACGATTTAAATAAAAATTAACATATGTCAGTCTATACTCAATTCAGTACACTATGCAAAATTTAGTCTCAATCGAATAAAAGTTAGGAGTTTGGTACAGCATTTACATCAAAACGGATGAAATTACATATGGGAGCTATATCTAAATCTGACCCAATTTCAATAGGGTTCGTTCTTGGGCCAAATAAAAGAGTTGTGCCAATTTTCATTCCAATCGGATTATAAATGTGATCTGTACTTTGTACAATTTAATATGGACAGACTATCGGACATGCATAAATCAAGTCAGAAAATAATAATTTCCTTTTGCCTGTTACAAAAATATATACAAAGACATAATACCCTTTACCACAGTGTGGTGAAGTGTATAGAAAGTAAGGTCGAATGAAGTGCCGGATCATTATCCACATCAACATATCAGTTTCCCGAGCCCCAAAAACGAAATTTTTTTTCGATGATATTAGTTTTCGATCAAATACCGGAACGTTTTCATCAAGGTTCCAAATCAGTAATGCCACGACGCAGTAAACGACCAGTTTTTATTAAGGATTTTTGGTCGACCCTCTTTATACCTCAAAATATAAGGTGGAGTGTATATTTCATTTGTTATGTATATTTCGTCTACGTCGATTTAATCACGCCCTTCTATTCAAAGTACGATGTAGATCACATTGTTTAAGATAGAACTTTTGAAATTTCGCACTCACGTTGCTACTTCTCCTGGGGTGTTTGCAAAACGGGATATATCGGGTTTAGGTATAGTTCCCATATGTCTGAACCTTCATTTTAAGGATTTCAGAGAATTTTATATCCGTTCTCATATGGTGACAACAATAAGAATCCAATCTTACAACCAAAAATTATCAATATATGTCCACGTTTAGGTATGTGTAGCATCCATATAAACGAATGTAGGTTCTTGCTCTGTTTTTCCTTTTCAAAACTCACTTAAAATTATTTATCTACTTTATTTCCATAAATTTTTTATTATTTACACAATAATATATTGAGCATATATTTATATATTCCTAAAATTTGACAACAGAATCGATCGAGAAGGAAAAATAACTATAGAAACAAAACAAAATTCTTAGTGAGGTCCTTCAGAATTTTTCATTCACATCAAACTGTCGGTCTGCCAATTTGCTCTTTGTTAAGTGTTAGGCTTCGG